CAGTGATATGAGGGTATCACAGATATGGTCATTGAGTTAGTGCTCAGTCTGGTACAAAATCTCCTTATGCCCATGACTTTTCCTTAGCTGCAGCCCCAGGCAGCTCTGGAAGTGGCCATTTTTTAGTCTCTTTTCATGGGAGAAGAAGCCTGAAATTCCCTGTTCCCTGGGAGAAAGATGAGTTCAGAAGCTGACTTTGTAGCCACTACTGCTGCTTCCAAATCTCACCCTACAATCTCTGGTATCACCACACTCGTTGCTTTGCAATTTTGTTCAGATTTACCCAGATGATTACCTTTTTGTTTTTCAGCTCAACTAATTTTAGAGTTTCTATGTGTTGTGTGTGAGGTAGTTTTCTTGTCAAAATGTAAACCATCTCTATCTGTTCTATCAGAAGTTCGATTGAAACTCTTTTAAAACTCTCTATTATAAGCAGACAATATTTTTAGAAAATGACTAGTAAGAACTTACTAAATATGTTACAAGCATACTCATTTAATCCTCCCAAAAACTTTCACTTGATAGAACAAGAAATCGAGAAGTAGAGAGGTTTTGTAACTTGCTTCGGATCACCTAGCTGTTAGATGCCGAGAAAGGATCTAAACCTGATAACTTGGCCCCATAGTTCAGTTTTCCTCACCACTGTGATGCATTCTCATCTGTCAGCTGGAGAAATAATGTTTCCTCACAGATTTGCTGTGAGGATGCTGCAAGATCAGATAGGAAAAGCCTGCTGTTGACCTGATATATAATAAGCATTCAATAAATGTTTTTCTTCCCTTTGTAGCAGCAAATATATTTCTAGTATGATAATTGAAACAAAACTTGTAACTAGATTTTGTTTTAAATATAGTATGTTTCATATTAATAAAATGGGTGGGAATTCTGATATTAAATCAAATTCTCTTATGTGACTGTGGGCTGGGGGAACTTCCCAGGGAGAGATGGAAAGCTAGGAAGTAAGGAAATCAGAGAAATAGGATCCAATTGGCAAAGTCCAAATTGGAAACCAGACAATTAAATGATTCTTCAGGAAAGCTGGTTTGATCCTGGGGAATTCCAGAGCAGAACAAGGTCTGGACTAGATGCTAGGAGTGCCTTGAGCATTTCCTAGAGCTCGTTCCTAAGGTTTCTGAGTCTTCAACAGTAAGCAGAGAGAGTTCTTTTGAGGGAACTTTGTCAGCCTTGATCTTGTAGAACACTCTTTTGGCCTTGTTTGGAAATTCCCCAAATTAACAAGGAGCATTTTGGCCTTAGTGTGCGATACTCAAGGGATAAGTAGACCTGGTTAAGTGTTTAGCTAAAATGGCCAAGAATCTATATCAAGGAATTGCCTCTGGGACTTGGACTTAAATACCTCCCTAGTCATCTCATCTCACATTTGTGGGCCTTCCACCATTGTCAAATTCCAGCTCAAATTCTACCCCTTTTGTGACACTATAATGACCCATCCCTCCTTATGCCTAGTAGTTGATCTACGTGGTTAGAAGCTTGGAGAAAGTTTTATCAATTTGGATAAATAGGATTATATATAAATACCATAGACAAATGCTCAGTTGAAAATTTGGGGTGTAAGTGTTGCAGATGTGTGTGTGTGTGTGTGTGTATTATATGATAGTATGGAATCTAGCAAAGAAACAACCTTACCAGAACAGGTCTCTATAAAAATTTGGAAAAGCTAAGGGTAGATTTAAGTAGGAGGGTTGGGCCCAGGTCATAGGTGACCTTTCAAGCTAGAGGAGTTTGATCAAGGTGGAGGAGGAGTTAGATCAAATTTGGTTAGTAATCTTGAGCCATTGCCAGTTCATGTATAAAAGGGTAGTGCATGGTGAGGTAGCCAACTGGTCCTAGACCTACCTGCCTTCTAGAAGCTCTGTGTGCCAGCCCAAGCAGGCCCAATAGAGGCTCACTAGTCATATTGAAGAGCATCACTGGTGTACTAGTGTTTCAGTGCACTTGATAGGAACAAAGGAAGTAGAAAAGTACAAATACCTCTCCTCTTTTATAGTCTTTTATAGTTCCTTTTTTGCCTTAGTGTTTCCTAAAAACTGAATCCCTACAGGAGATGACCTTAGATTTCCAATTGCCCCTGTGGTGTGGAAGAGGATACTGTATAATTCAAATTTAGTATTAGTTCCAGTGGTTTTTTTTTTTTTTTCCCCATCTCTGTAACTTGAACTTTTTCGTGGATGGTTAGATCACCAGAAAAACAAAAAACAAACAAAAACAAAACAACAAAAAAGCAAACAAAACCAAAGAACAAAATCTAACTTTTCTTTCTGTTTTTCTTTTCCTTATCTACTCATTGTAGAATAAATTAACCCAAATATAATTTTCTTTTTTTTTTTGGATAGTGTAGAGGGAATAAAAGAAGACAGTAATCTAATCTATAATTGTGTATTTAGCACTTAAATAATTGCTTTAAGAAATTTGGTCAAGGGCAAACACAACAATGGGATTGGACTTTGAGCACATGATAAAAGTGAGAGCACACAAGGGAGGGGTGAGGATAGGTAAGACACCTAAAAAACTAGCTAACATTTGCTGCCCTTAATGCAGAGAAACTAAAGCAGATACCATAAAAGCAACTGAGGCCAATAGGAAAAGGGGACCAGGAACTAGAGAAAAGGTTAGATCAAAAAGAATTAACCTAGAAGGTAACACACACGCACAGGAAATCAATGTGAGTCAATGCCCTGTATAGCTATCCTTATGTCAACCAGCAAAAACCCTTGTTCCTTTCTATTATTGCTTATACTCTCTCTACAACAAAATTAGAAATAAGGGCAAAATAGTTTCTGCTGGGTATTGAGGGGGTGGGGGGGAGAGGGAGGGGGCGGAGTGGATGGTAAGGGAGGGAGTGGGGGCAGGGGGGAGAAATGACCCAAGCTTTATATGCACATATGAATAATAAAATTAAAAAAAAAAAGAAAAGAAATTTGGATTTCAGTTTTGTTTATTGGGAAACTTTGAGGGTTATACCAAGCTGGCAATGTTAGTAATAAGCTAAAGTAATTTACCTTGAAACATAGGCATTTATCTTAATTTAAAAAAGACATAAAATCCAGTGGTTAAAATCCAATAACTTCAATCCTTAAAAAATATAAAAGGCAGGAAGATTATTTTAATTATGAAAAAGTTCCAATATACAAATGTGTATATGTATGCACATATGTTTAAAAGTATGGAGGATAGTAGAATGAATTGCTTTTATTCATCACCCAGATTCAACAGTTATCAGTTTTGCAACCTTTTCTTCATCTATCCTTTTGGAATGTTGCTCACTGCAGCATTATAAAGTATATCTCGATTTGGGATTATGACTCCTACACAGTATGCATCTCTAAAAATATGGACACTTTTCTCTCATGACTTCAATGCCATTGGCACAGCCTATAGATAAATACTTGGTGTCATCTATCATCCAGAGCAGATATAAATTTCCTTGGTTACTTGGCAGTATTTCCTTTTTTTTTTTTGATGGGATTGGGGTTTGAACTTAGGACTTCTTGCTTGCAAAGTACGTCTCTTTGGCTTGAGCCACACCTCCAGTCCATTATGCTCTGGTTATTTTGGAGATGGGGATCTTGCGAACTTTATGCCTGGACTGGCCTTGAACCACTGTCCTCCAGACTTTAGCCCCAAATAGCTAGGATTCCAAGGGTGAGCCATTGGCACCCACTGGCAATGTCTTTTTGTTTGTTTGTTTGTTTTACATTTGATTTGTTCAAATCAAGATCTAAACAAGGTTCACATGTTGGAATTTGTTTTTGTGTGTGTGTGTCTTTAAATCTCAGTGGTTCACAAGCGTTGGTTTTGGTGTCTTAGTGGAGTGGATGGAAAAAAAGCAAGGCTGAGGTGATAGATTTTCATCCATCCTAAAAAGAAAACTTTAAAATTACAGAGCCTGCTGGGAGTAGGGAGATTTGATTGTAACATTTATGGTTGAAATATTTTTAAAGTCCTTGTCAAACTTTTTTAAATGCCTCCTTTAAAGCAGTATTATTATGTAATTTTGTCCTATGTGAAACAAACACCTAAATTTGAGTTGTTATTTGGAATGTTTAGCCAGAAACTGAAGTTAACTATTTTACAACAAACTAGAATAAAGGGGGAAAAAAAAACCCAATGTGTTTTTAAGAGATCTAATTCTCATTACAAATTAGAAGTCAGTTATCTTTCTCTAGACTGCCTTCCTTTATCTTTTCCTTTGAACTTTTATCTGTTTATTTTCATATATTAATTTCATTCAAATCTAGGTACTGTTCTTTTAAGGAATTTTTGTTTGTCTACTACTGAAGATGCTATTTCTTCAGATAACGTTACATAATATGGTAATAATTTAAACAAATTTTAAGAATTAAATGTTCTTTTTTTGCAGTATTGGGTTTGAACTCATGGCCTCTTGCTTGCTGGGCAGGCGCTCTACCATTGAGCCACTCCACCAGCCTGTTTAAAAATAAATTAAATGTTCTTAAGCATTGTAGGGTAACATAATGTTGCAGAGCAAAAGATCGTAGTGTTTAGCTAACCTCAAAACATTTTTTGTTATATTATTGTTGTACTGGGGTACATTTGACATTTATAAAAGTTCTTACAATATATTGTAGTTAAATTCGCTCCCTCCATCATTCTCCTTTATCTCCTCTCCCCTCAAACACAAAACGTTTTTGCCTCTTCTCGGATAGCTTGCATTCTTAATACTCTTAGGTTCTGGTTGAAAATTTTATTTGTGGTAGGCTATATTTTGATAGAGAGGAAAATAATTTGCTAAAATACGATTTAAAATTGAATATGTGTCACCTATAAATAGAGCATAAGTTGCAATTATATTCTTTTTGTTGGAAATCTTAAAGTACAAGTGAGACATTTTCTAGTTCTCCCCCTCCCACCTCCAATGTAAAGGTATATTTTCTAGCAGTATTAATAGATGTCAATTGTTTATACTTTTACCCTTTGGTACTGACGATTCCAAATGTTTGCTTATTTGCACCTTTTAGGTGCCCTCATGTGAGTCTGCAAAAGCTGCCAGAACAGTGGTTATGGAGTGTGTTGGAGGAAATTAAATGCAGTGATCCTTCATCCAAACTCTGTGCTACAAGGCGCAGTGCTGGAATTCCTTTCTACATACAGGTACTTATCTGTAGGACTGTGGCTGTTTGTTTATTTGTCTTTAAATTGTATATTCTATATTCTGACCTCTTTAACATGTGAATGTACACATTGCATAAGGGAAATTTTTGTCTTTTGGGTACCATTGCATTTGTGACTTTGTTTTGATGTGTGGGCAATGTGTGCTGCGACAGCTCTGCTCTTGGAACAAATTCTCTAAGAGGTCAGTCTTGTTATATAAACAGTGAGTGGTATAGATTTCTGCCTGTGTATTAAGTAGGTAGACATCACTGTGGCACATTCATTGTTCACTTGTAGGAAGTATATGTGTTGCCTTCCCTTCCCCCAATTATAAAAAATAGTCTTCCTTTCATTCGAAGACTCTCAAGACTTTCTAGGCACCTAATGTTCACGTGTTTCTTCTGACTCCATCTACAAAATGTCCATCCATAAAATAATGAAACCTTAATAGTGGCCAACATTTTTTAGTGGCTATTTCACATATGTTACCTCATTAAACCTTGCCCAAACTCTGTGGATAGATACTGTTATCCTCTACATACATTCTAGATGAGGAAACTGGGCTTATACAAGTTAAGTGATTTGCCAAAGCCCTCAGAGATAGTAAGAGCTGGGTGAAGACTTGGGCTCAGACCACCTGACTCCTTTCCCCCCTGCCTTTGAGAATGTGTCTGTGAGTGCAGTTCCTGAACACAGATGCAGACATGCTAGATCTACTGTTTGTCCTTGCTTTTTCTATAATTACACCTTAAAGATTATTCCTTTTTAGCCCAGCCAGATAGTGTTGATTGGTAAATATTTTCTTTCCTTTTCATGATCCCAAAGAATACAAACCAATATCCTCACAATACTAAATCAGATCTCATTGTTGTTTAATATTCATTGATATAAAATCCAGGAACTGGATAGTGTAATAAAATCAATGAAGATAAAGAAATGACGTATTTTTTGTATGGCCCCATATTTTTTTTCCTTCTCTCTTTCATTTCTGTCTCTAATTTCCAAAGTCCCTTCATGACTTTTTGATAACACTGGAACACCAATTGCAGAGGTTGTTAACAGAGCTCTTTGGGATAGTTCTGCTGGTTGAATTTAAGTGACTTTCAGAAATCATCTCTTCTTCCTGACTCATTCTGGATCAGTGTGGTTCAATCTCCTGCTTTTAATTTTTTCTGCTTTGTGTCATTCTTCTGTCTGAGGACAAATGTTAAGGTAAATGCAAGGTCCTGCTGCATGTTTGTGCTGTATGCTTATTCTACTTGTGGTTTTCAACTAGTAATAATTATTGGTTAGAGTGATAGGTACACTTTTTTAGCCTAGCATCACTGGGCAGAAAGGCCATAACTTTGCCCAGTTCCTTAGAAGAAAAAAGCTGTGCTCCCAGAAGACCTTTTGCTAGTTGAGTACAGCAAAAGTATATAGTTGAGTATACAGTAGTTGAATAATTTCTAAATTATAGAAAAAACATCTTAGAGAGTCCCATTTCTCATAGCATGAATTAACAATAAAGTTATATTCTTCATTTTGGAGGAAACTTCTGCTTAGTGTTAGCTAGGAGGAAAACTACCTGCTTAGTTTATGAGCTTATCCTTTGTGTAGAAGATGTAAATTTTTTGAGTAGTCTAAAAATAGCTTATTTTCTGAACATAAAATATACTATGAGAAATTTCTTTTAGACTTGTTTTTTTGTATGTGTCTTATAGTTTCCTCTTTTATAGCTTATAAATGCTTCAGAACATGCTGAATAGCCTAAAACTTTTGCTCTGGGGAGCCAGTAGTTGCATATTTATAAAAAGTAGATATAGAGGAAAAGACTCTGAGAATATAACTTAAGTGATCTTCTCTTAAATAGCTTTGTTGAGACACAGTTTACTTACAGTACAATTCATGCAGTTAAAGTGTAAAAGTCCATGAATTTTAGTATATTTGCAGAGCTGTACAACCATTAGCATAAATTAATTTTAGAGCATTATGTGGGAAACCCCCCACCTCCCAAACCCATTATTTGTCACTCTCTGTCCTGCTCCAATCTGCTCCCAGCCCTAGGCAACCACTAGTTTATCTTCTGTCTCCATAGGTTTTTCTGCTCTGGACATTTCATATAAATGAAATCATACAATATGTGATCTTTTGTGCCTGGCTTCTTTCATTTAGTATTGTCACAGGTATCAGTACTCCAGTTCTTTTTATTGCCTCAAGCGGGTTGAGATCCCATTTTTATGTTTATTGGATATTGGCAAAATACTAGTCACAAAGTAAATAAACAGCTCTTTGAAAATTCAAGTACAGGATATGTTTGGAGTTTTCAGTGTTTCTTCTTGCCCCATGGAGTTTCAAATGCTACAATGTGATTGGTTTTTAGGAATAGACTTTGTGAATTAGATAGCTCATCAATTTCTAGGGAGCTTCAAAATCCATACAAGAAACTTAATCCAGAGGGTTTTTTGTTTGTTTGTTTAAGAAAAGATAATTTTATTGTTGGATAAATTGTTACTAAAAATTGTACCTTGCTTTTCTGTATCTGAGACGTGCTGCCTAATCATGGTCCTTAAGGAGTGGTCAGTTAGAGCCATATACTGTCTCTTAAAATTGTATTATTAACAAGCAACCAGAATGATGTTAAAGATGACATGATTTCACCTTCATCTAATTTTACAGATCTGAAGGGATGAAAGGGTTAAAGCCACTTGCCCAAAGCAACATGGCTTAATTAACTTGGCTTGCTAACCATGTATTATTTATTTTGTTTTGAAAATACCTTTAAGCCTTCATTATATTTATTCTTTTTTTGAATACAAAACTTGTTTTTTTAAAAAAATATAATTCATATTACTGCTTCACTAAGGTACATTGTGACATTACAAAAGTTCTTACAATTATCATTGTTGAATTCACCCCCTCCATCCGGTCATTCTTCTTTATCCTCCTCCCCCATTCCTGGATTAGTTTCAACAGGGTCTCATTTTTCCATTTTTTACATGAGTACATAGTATACATGAGTATACATCACCCTCTTACACTTTTTCCTATATCTTCCCCCCTCCCACGTTGGTGCCAAACCCTAGACAGACTTGTTTTGCCTTTCCTGTTCTTTTTTGAAAAACATTTTTTTGTTTAAGATGCTATAAGGGTATTTCATTCTGACATTTCCCATATATTGAAATATATACTTTACATTCCATATAAGTTATTAGCCTAAAATTGTTTATCTCCTATTTTCTCCTTTTCTACCTTAATCCCCTTCTTATGGTGATTTTCAACAGGTTTTTAAAAATTCTTATATTCATTCTTGTATAGAAAGTACATCAACCATAGTCACATTCTAACTTTTTTTGTTACCCCTCCCTCTCCCTTAGTTGACCTCCCCTTAGCATGACCTGTTTTTCATAATTATGGCGATTTATGTTGGGTCTGATTCCACATATGAGAAAAGCCTTTGGCTTTCTGGGATTGGCAACTTCACTTAAGGTGATGTTCTCCGTTCCATCCATTTACCGCAGATATAAAATTCATTTCTTCTTTATGGCTGAATAAAAATTCCATTGTATATAAATACCACATTTTTCTAATCCATTCATCCAGGGTTGTGGGGCATCTTGTTTGTTTCCATAGCTTAGCTATTGTGGAATGCTGCAATGGGGCATCTTAGTTTGTTTCCATAGCTTAGCTATTGTGAATGCTGCCAATAAATAATTGGTGTGTAGATGTCTTTATTGTAACCTGAACTTAATTTTTCACCGGTGTATCCCTACGCGTTGGTATTGCTGAATCATATGACAGTTATGTTGTAAGTTTTTTGAGGAGCCTCCATAACTGTTTTCCAACATTCTAAATGATTTTTTATAATGGGAAGTTGTGAATTAACAGGATTTTGAATTTTGGAATTAATTTGGGCAAGCAACAAATAGGTATATGTAAAATAGAAGAGCCATTTATTTTGTTTGGTGTTGTTTTTCCATAGGCATTGTTAGCATCTGAACCAAAGAAAGGCAAAATGGATTTGTTGAAAATAACAATGAAAAGAGTTACTATCTCTGGCTGGCCCTATAAAATGACTCACAGAGCACAAGTCCCCAGGTAAAAATGGAAAGCACACAAACCCACGCTAGGACAGCAGTGTTTTTAAATCTTCTGCTGTGTATTTATTAAAGGCAGTATCTGCAAAGATAGAATCTTGAGTTAGGCAGACATTTGAAGTTTACATGAATGCTTTTTAAGGAAAATGTATTTTAAATTTCTTTTTTTGGTCTTTCCTATTCCACTAACATTAACTATTCTTTGGGGTTTGACAGATACTGATCAAGATGAATTATTTTAAAACTCTGGTGAAAACATGCAACTGAATTAAGATATTTTTATAATATTAATATTGCATCTAAATATTTGAAAATGAATATGCAGTAACTTTTGAATTTCATGTGTGCTTCTCTGCATTGATGTACATTTTTGTAACTTGGCAGTCACAAAACCTAAATATTAGGTGTGTAATACCTAACTTTTGGCATATCCATTTTAATTTTCACTAATGTTTAACCCCCTTTAGTTATTAGCCGTACTTAGGAAATTAGGTTAAACACTCTTCGTAGTTCTACTCCAGTGCTAGATGTACCTGGTAGTCTAGACTTCCTCAGTAAATACCTCATGGTGGGATGTTCCTGCCCAACTGTGGAGGGCCTGTGCTTAGTCAGGGAATAGACTGAGAGCGGAAGTTTACAATCAAGTGCAATAAGTTTCAATAATTTTATTTCAGAGCCTCTGGGAGGTGTTAAAAGGTGAACCATGAATCAGACTATAGTCAAACTAGTGGAAAAAGATGGCATTTATTAACATACATAGTGACCAATGAATATGAGATTTCTTTAAAAAAATTAATGTTATGACTCATCTTTAAAAATGATCATCTCAAGACACTTTCCAATGAAATGTGAACAATATATTTGCTTATATTTTCTTAGACTTATCACTTTTGAAAAATGTCCTAGTTTTATAAGAACATCTAAAAATAATGGGGTTTTGTGTTTTGAGGTGTGGCGGTAAAGTTCCTCCCTAGCAAGCACAAAGTCCTGACTTCAAACCTCAGTACCACCCAAAACAAATAAAAATAAAAATATGGGATTTTCCTTATAAGGGTGCTAGGTAGTTGTTGCTATGCTGTTTTTATGTGAAATTTAAATGTTCAGCCTCTGACCAGTGTTCTAGGCTTTAATCAATGAACTCATCCCATGGCTCATTTATTTTTACTGTGTATCTTTGAAATATGTCAATGTGCAGAATGTACAGTGAATAACAAATATGTTTAAAAACAATTCCGTTTAATAGACATTGCAGATAGAATTACATATACTGTAGATTCTTTTCCATCTCATTTCCTTATTTTCCTTCTCAGCTGTGATCACTAACCCAAATTAGTATTTATCATTCCCATGCATTTTTGCTGTACATTTATGGTCTTTTACACAGATAATATCATCTACACATCTTTTATCTGGGCTTAGTTTTTTTGTTTTTTAATCCACATTATTTTTTAAGATTACTGAACTTCAGTTTATTGTTATTTCTGAATGGTATTTCAGTGTATTCGGTTCCGAACTCATTTTTTGAATAGACATTTGGTTTTTTTCCAGATTCTTCTATTACAAACAGTACTAAAACAAACATTTTTGTTTCTCCTTACACATGTGTTTTTCCAGGTAGCAGTGGAATTGCACGTTGTAGGGTAGGCACATACTCAATTTTGATGTTGGCTGTTGTATTCTTACCCACAAGGTATAGGAATTTCCATTGTTTACTAATACCCTGGTATTATCACATCTTTATGGTTTCCATTTTGCTTGGTGTGAATGGTGTTTCCCAATTTTATTTTGCATTTCTCTGATGACTAGTTAGCTTTTTTTGCACCCATACTGGCTTGGAATTCCCTATGTAGCCCATGCTGGCCTCTAACTTGTGATCCTCTTGCCTCTGCCTCTTTAGTGCTGGGACCACAGGTGTGCCCCACCATACTTGGCCATGAGTTAGCATTCACATCTTTTGATACATTTAGTAGTCTTTTGAGTTACATCTGTGAGTTAACTGTTCAAAGAAAATTCATAGAAGTAGGCAAATTACCTACTTTTAATTTTTTGTCTTTTTGTTTTGAAAGAGTTGAATTTTTGTTATTAAAAAAATATTTTTGGGCTAGATACTAATTCAGGCTCTAGAATGCCTGCCTAGCAAGCAATGAAGTCCACAGATAAAATCCTAGAACCACCACGGAAAAAAAGTACAAATATTTTGCTTGTTTGCATTATATATATCTTTTCCGAATCTGGGGTTTCTCTTTCTATTTTGCTTATGATTTCTACTATTGTACAGAACTGTTAAATTTTAATTGAATGGAATATGTCAGCTTTTTTCTTTATGGTTTATACATTTGTATCTTGTTTAAGAAATCTTCCGATACTCCAAGGTCAGAAAGGCATTTTATATTTTCCTTTAGATGTTTTAAGTTTTACTTGTATTTCTTTATGTGAATTTATTTTATGTATAAAATAAGAAAATAATTTTATTATTTTCCATTTAGATAACTAATATGTAGGTGTTTTTTATATATCTTTTTGCCTTGATTTATAAGACTACCTTATATACTGTTTTCATAGGTAAGAAACTCTGTTTCTGTTCTCTGTCCCATTGATCTATTGGTCAATCCCTTGTCCAAAATGATGATTTTAATTACTCTATCTTTATAATAACTTGTAGTATCAAGTAAGGTGAATTTCATTTTCTTTTTTCCCCAGAACTACCTTTACTATCCTTCCATCCATTCAACCATCCATCCATCCATTTTAGAATCTTCCACATACATTTTAGAATCACCTAGCTAAGTTCAGTGAAACACCTTTTTGAAATTAAAGTGTGTTGATTGTTTTGGGAAAAATGACCTTTTTTATGGTACTGAGGTTGGAACTCAGGACGTTTTGCTTGCTATGCATGTGCTGTACCACTTAAGTCATGCCACCAACCCCAAAATGACTTATTTTTTTGGTACTGAATCTTCTATGAGGTCTAAGGGTAAAGCTTAGAGGCAGAGTACTTACTTCGCACGCATGAGACCCTGGGTTCTATCCCCACCAGGATACACACAAACACACGCACACACACTTTCACACACACACTCACAATGGAATGAATTGTCCCATGGCAGGGCTCATTTCTCCATTTATTCAGATCTTTCTTAATGTCTTCAGTTACTACTTTTTTTGTGTTTTGTTTGGAGACAGGGTCTTACTATGTAGCCAAGGCTGGCCTGGAACTTGCAATGTAGACCCCAAGTCTCAAACTTGTGATCCTCATGCCCTATTGCTGGGCATGGGCAACATAGTAAGACCCTGTTTCTTAAAAAATAAAAGAATTTCCATAAAAGTCTTACAGGTTTTTTTTGTGACATTTATTTCTATATATCTTTTTTAAATTGCAATCATAAATGCTATTTTAAAATCTTATATTATCTGTCGCTGTTGTGTATGAATGCAGTTGATTTTTTTGATTATTGTGGTAATATTTACTAACCTATTTGAACTATGATACAAGTAATGACTTATCTGTAGATCCTTTTGGATTTTCTTTTTTTTTAATTTTTATTTTTTCATAATTCTTATGTGCATAGAATGCTTGGGTCATTTCTCCCCCCTACCCCCACCCCCTCCCTTACCACCCACTCACCCCTTCCTTCTCCCCCCCACCCTCTCAATACCCGGCAGAAACTATTTTGCCCTTTCATCCTAAGCATATGCTTATTTCTGTCGGTGAGACGGGTCTCCTGTAAGCAACAAATTGTTGGATCCTCCTTTTCAATCCCTTTCATCAAACGGTGCCTTTTGATGGGTGAATTATGTCCGTTAACATTAAGCGTTAGTACTGATTAGGTACGTGGTGATTCCTGTCATTTAGTTGTCTTAGTTGTTTGAAGGTTTGATTGTGTGTACCTAAGTTGAGGTTACTCTCTACTTTCTTGCTTTTTCTTTTCCTGTAGTTTGGTGCTGCCTGTCCTTTCATGGTTATGTTGGTTTTCACTTTCTGTGCGCAGAATCCCTTGAAGAATCTTTTGTAGTGGTGGCTTTGAGGTCACATATTGTTTTAGTTTCTGCTTGTCATGGAAGACTTTTATTGCTCCATCTATTTTGAATGATAGTTTTGCTGGGTAGAGTATCCTGGGGTTGAAGTTATTTTTATTCAGTGCCCGGAAGATCTCACCCCACACTCTTCTTGCTTTTAATGTTTCTGTTGAGAAGTCTGCTGTGATTTTGATGGGTTTACCTTTGTATGTTATTTGTTTTTTCTCTCTTACAGCCTTCAATATTTTTTCCCTAGTTTTTGAGCTTGTTGTTTTAATGATGATATGCCGTGGGTTAGTTCTATTTCGATCTGGTCTGTTTGGTGTTCTGGAGGCCTCTTGCATTTGTATGGGAATATCTTTCTCTAGATTTGGGAAATTTTCTGTTATTATTTTGTTGAATATATTACACATTCCCTTCGCTTGCACCTCTTCTCCTTCTTCGATGCCCATGATTCTCAAGTTTGGAAATTTTCCGTTATTCTTTTGTTGAATATATTATGCATTCCCTTTGCTTGCACCTCTTCTCCTTCTTCAATGCCCATGATTCTCAAGTTTGGTCTTTTGATGGAGTCAGTGAGTTCTTGCATTTTCTTTTCACAGGTCTTGAGTTGTTTAATTAATAGTTCTTCGGTTTTTCCTTTAATTATCATTTCATCTTCGAGTTCTGAGATTCTGTCTTCTGTTTGTTCTATTCTGCTGGATTGGCCTTCCATTTTATTTTGTAATTCTGTTTCATTCTTTTTGCTGAGGTTTTCCATATCCTGGGTCGTTTCCTCTTTAATGTTGTGTGTTTTTGTCCTGAGTTCATTTATCTCTTTATTAATCATGTTCTCTGTTTCACTTTGGTGTTTATTCAGTGCTTGTATGGTTTCCTTTATTTCTTCTTTTTCTTTTTCAAATTCTCTATTTTTGTCATCTTGGAATTTCTTGAGTGTCTCCTGTACATTTTGGTTGACCCTATCCAGTATCATCTCTATAAAATTCTCATTGAGTACTTGTAGTATGTCTTCTTTTAAATTATTCTTGTGGGCTTCATTGGGTTCTTTGGCATAGTTTATCTTCATTTTGTTTGAGTCTGCATCTGAGTATCTGTTTTCTTCATTTCCCTCTGGTTCCTGTAGTAACGTTTTGCTGTGGGGAAACTGGTTTTCCCGTTTTTTTCTGTCCTCCCGTCATTGCCGTTGGTGTTGTTTTTGTCCCTGTACTGTGTGCAATTAAGTATTTCCTGGCTTGTAATAATAGCACTAGTGATATTTAGAAAGGAAGGGTGAGAGGGGATGGAAAGCAAAGAAGTTAAAGGAAAAGGGAAAAACAAATAATTAAGTAGAAAAAAAAACCATAAAGGAACAAACAAAAAAAGTTTCAAAGATATGAACAGGGAGAGACAGTGTACGAATCAACTGTAAGCTGAGAAGGCATTAGAGAGACAGAGGATTGAAAATAAAAAATAAAAAGAATAAAGATAAGAATATAAATAAAAAATAAGTAAATGAAAGAAAATATATGTATATATATATATATATATGTGAAAATATATATATGTATATATAAAATTAAAAAAAACCTCCAAGTTAAAATGCAGTGAAGTTTCAATTTTTATAATTTAGGTGTTCATCCTCAGCATCCAATCCTGGAGATGGTGCCTCAGTTGTTGTTCTGTAGTTGTCTCATCAAAGGGGAAACATAAAATAGAACAAAACAAAACAAAACAAAAACTCAAAGTGTCCCAAGTTCAAATGCAATACAGTTTCAGTAAGTTTTTCAGCATGCAGGTGTTGTTCGGTTGTTTTCTCATCAAAGGTAGGGAGAGATTTGAAAAAAAGAGTCTGGAGACAGTTCTGTGAATGGCTACCAGCAGCTGTGGCTGCTGTTGCTGGCAGTGTTATTTATGCAGATCTCAGGAGTGAGCTTAGCACTCACCTGGCCCTGCAGGCTTTGTTTACTCAGCATTCTCCTGTGTGTGATGCCACTGCTACAAGCTTTCCCCTTTCCATGCACACTGGGGGAGGTGACACTGCACCTGCTTTCTCAGGCCTGCGTGTTTATTTACAGTTCACCTGGGAAGTGGGTCTTCCTCCTTCTCCTGTGGAGTTTTCCTCCCACCACAGCTTTTACAAGCTTTCCTGCTTGTGCTTGCTGGGCATGTGCTGCTCTCCTGCCAGCCGGCCTGTTTGTTTACAGCTCATGTGGGAGGTGGGTCTTCCCCCCTCTCCTGTGGGGTTTTCCTCCCTCTGCCACTCTCACAAGCTTTCCTGCTCCTGGTTGCTGGGCGCGCCCTGCCGCTCCCGCCCTCTCTGGCCAGGCCTGGCTTGTTTATTTACAGTTCCGGGAGAGATTCCCCTCCCCCTCTTCGGCGCTCAGGGCTCCCCACTCTCTTTGCAACGTGTCTTTATTGTTTTATTGCTTATTACTCAGTTTCTCTTTTTTCCCTGGTGGGGGTCGGTCTGTCCAGGGGGTGGGGGTCTTGCCCAGGGTTGTCTGTGGAAGTACTGCGAACCACTTAGCTCACCTTGTCCGCGTCTTCCCAAGCGGTCTGGGCGCGGGCGTCTGGCGGTGGCCTGGGAACCCTCCTGGTTTCGACGTTTAACGTGAAGTGGAGATTCTCTGCGTAGGCTGGAGGTGTGGAGGGGTCAAAGTTTTGCCTCTTCTCGGTGGCCTTGCCTGCGATATGTTTCTCCAGCGTCTCTCCAGGATTTCACTATAGGAGGCCGGCTTTCTGTTTCCTCCTTCTAGTCACCATGTTGGAATCCTTTGGATTTTCTTTATAGATAATTATATCCTCAGATGGTAATGCTAAGCTTGCTTTTTCTTTCTAATACTGACTTTTGCTTAAAAATTTAATTGGCTTTCTCTGATGCTAGAACCTTTAGTACAGTTTTTCATAGAAACATGAGAGCAGGCATCTTCATATTTTTAATATTTAGGCTGTCTTTCATCTTATTAGGGAGCTTGGTGGATTTTATTGAATGTTTTCCTGAAACTTTTGAAACAAATATTTTCTACAACTTGCAAGCATTATGAATGATACTCCCAACTTTTAAGGGTAATACTATTTGCTTATGGAGAATGAACCCAACTTTAGTTTAATGTTTTTTTGTACCCTGCCTTCTCATTAGCTTTTTCTGTTCAGCACCCTTTCTTGAAGTATAATTAACAGTGTAACTTCTAACACCTCAGTTTTAGTTTGACCTGTTTTTTGAATTTTATAAAAATGTATTATAAACTATACTTTTGATGATGGCTTATTTTGGTCAATATCATGTTTATATACCACCCATATTATAATTTACTCATTCTCATTGCTGTATAATAGCATACAATTTTTGTGTTGATGAAGTTTTTTTTGTGACAGTGTCTCATGATGTAGGCAGGTTGACCTCAAACTTATGACCCTCCTGCCTCAGCTTCCTGAGTGCTATGATTACAGGTGTGTGCACTGATTCGTGGCTCTCCATTCTACTTTTGGTGAACATTTTGACATATGAAAATTTTGGTTTATTAAGAATATTACTTTTGATGGGCTGGAGACTTGACTCAGGTAGTAGAGCACCTGCCTCTCAAGCACAGAGTCCTGAGTTCAAACCCCAGTTCTGCAAAAAAAGAAAAAAAAAAGTAGTACTTTAGAGAGTACTCTTGTACATGCTTAATGGTGAGCGTATATGTATGTTTCTGATGAGTATACAGTTTGGAGTAGTTATTAAGTATGTTTATATTCAGCTTTAATTTTCCCAAAGCAGTTGTCTGTATCTTGTTTTGATATCCAGACTCATAAAATAAACCTGGAAATTGCTTAACAACTTGTATATAATGGGGGTTATCTACTTAAATGTCTATAGATTTTATTTGGAAAATCATGTGGGCTTTTTTATTGTCATAGTTAATTTGTGGGTTTTTTTTTTATGTTTGAGGGGATTTTTTACTATTGATTTCCTTTATTTAATGGTAATACCTATTGAGGTATCCAATTTTTCTTGATTGGTATTGATAAATTCTATTTTCTGAGGTTATTTTATCTTTTCAAATTAATTAGTATACGTTTAGTCATAGTATTTTTTGCTTTATTCTCTTGTATCTGTAATTATGTCCTTTTTGGTATTGATAATATTGTTTGCTTAGGCTTTCTCTCTCTTCTTGGTTAGTCTTATCATAGGTTGGTTTGTCTCATACAACCAGCTTTTAGGCTGGGGATGTAGGTAGTTCAGTGGTGGAGTACTTTGACTAGCATGAACAAGGCTTGGGTCTGATCCTTAGTACTGCAAAAGAAAGAAAGGAAGGAAGGAGAGAGGAAGGGAAGAGGAGGGAAGGGGAGGGGAGTGAAGGGATCCATTTTTGGTTTTGTCAGTGCTCTTAGTTGTTTCTTTGCTATTAAAAATTCTGGTCTTTATTTTCTGTTTGTATTTTAAGTTCATTCTTTTCGTGTCATCTTAAGTGGACACCTTAGCATATTCATTTTTAGTCATTTTTTAAAGATAAATGTGTACATTTAAAAAGTGGACAGATTGGCAGAGTGACACAAGCAGTAAGAGTGTCTGCCTAACAAGCACAAGGCCCTAGTACTGCCAAAAAAAAAAAAAGCCTTCTAACTAAAACATGGACAATTTTTGGCTGAAGCAGTAGAGTGCCTGACTAACAAGTGCAATTCACTGAGTTCAAATCTCAGTACCACCAAAAATAAATAATAAAAAAGTGAATATTTCTTTTTAAATACCCAGTTAAAGTGCATCATACAAGTGTCACAATATAGCAGTTTCACTGTTGTTTAACTTTAAGTATTAAAAACATCTTTCTTTAATCAGTGTTTTAACATGTGTGAATTTTAAAAAATGAATTCTAGCCTAATTCAACTATGATCAGAGTGTCTATAAGATTGTAATTATTTGGTGTTTATTGAGACTTTATTTGTGACTAGTTGTGAAGTCATTTCAAAAAAGCAAATGCTCCATGTATCCTTGAAAAGAACGTGTTGGTTTTATTTGCTAGGTTCAGGATTTTACATAGGGTCATTGGATCAAGTTGGTTTTTTTTTATTGCATTATTCAAATCTTATTAACTTCAAATTTTTTATTTTATTATTATTGAGTTGTAATAAGTCTGCTATTTCATTTGTGAATTGTCCATTTCTGACAATTTTGTGTATAGATTTAGAATTACCACAGTTTTCAACCCACCACTAATTTTGAACTTCTTGTTGTAGGTTCATGCCTTAAATATCCTTAGAGCCTTGTTCAGAGATACACGTCTGGGAGAAAATATCATTCCTTACGTTGCTGATGGAGCTAAGGCGGCAATTCTGGGCTTTACATCACCAGTCTGGGCAGTGAGTGCTTTTGCCATTTATTTTCATTGCCTTAGTTAGGCTTCTGAGTAGGTTTTAATAAACTCACCTTTCACTGGATGATAAAAATTATATACTGCATTTTATCAAGAAGTTTCTGTAGGGGATAAATCCTTGGATCAAGCTATATTTTGATTCTTGATATTTTATGTTTCCATTTTATCTTATTTGTTGATTTATTGGCTTTAACTATTTTTGTGATTGCTGAATAGGGTTTATAGTATATATCTTTACCTTGTCACAGTTTACCCTTAAGTGATATTATACCACTCCACTTCAAATGTAAGAACTTAATAATAGTGTACTTATATATTTTCTTTCCAGTCTTTGTACTTTTATGGCTATACATTTTGTATATCCTTTTTGCATTTATGTATATTGTAAACCCATACTAGATTGTTAATACTTTACAGAGTTGATTATCTTTTATTTAATTTACCATACAGTTCAGTGGCATTAAGTACACTCACAAGACTCATCACCATTATGCATTTTTAGAACTCTCTCATCACCTGAAGCAGTAGATCTGTACCTGTTCAGACTAACTCCCCATCTTCTTCCCCTCATCCCCTGTAACCTCAGTTCTGATTTGCCTGGTCATTTGTCTCATATGTGTGGAGTCATACAGTATTTGTCCCTTTGTGTTTAGCTTATTTTGCTTGCTACTGTGTTTTTAAGGTTCATTTATATTGTAGCATGTTTTAGAATTTCATTCCTTTTTAAGTCTGAATAATGTTCTGTTATACGTGTTTGTCATATTTTCTTTATTTATCTATTGGTAGACCTTTAGATTGTTTCCACTTTTGGTAATTATGAATAATGCAGCAGTGACTGTTGGCATACAAGTTGAGTCCCTGTTTTCAGTTTATTTAGGTATTATTGTGTGAATTTGGTTTAACTTTTTGAGGATTGCCAAACTGTTTTTCACAGCAGCAGCACTGTTTTACACTCACAGTGGCAATGCACAAGAGTTGTAATTTCTTTATGTCTTCACCAGTACTTACTATTTTCCATTTTTTTAAAATGATGACCTACCCTAATGGATGTGAAGTGATATCCTATTCTCGTTTTGATACGTATTTCCCAAATAATTAGTAATATTGATCTGGAAGCAAAATAACTCTTTGTGTATCTTAATGTAATTTTTTTTGGATGCTGTGGATTCTTTATATCCATATGTTGAGTGAGTATTATAAAAGTATTCATCAAAAGTTCAAAAAACAAACATAAAACATTAAACTGGAACAGCTTAAGTACTGAGTCAGTTTCCTTTGCAATATGAGTGCTGACCAGAAGCCTTTTGATTCAGTACCTAGTACCTACTGTTGGACTTAAGAAAGTAAATGTGAGCTAGGCACCGTTGACTTATGCCTGTAATCTAGCTACTTTGGAGGCAGATATCAGGAGGATCATGGTTTGAGGCCAGCCCCGGCAAATAGTTTTGGGAGACCCTATCTCGAAAATACTCAACACAAAACAGGACTGGTAGACTGGCTAAAGTGATAAAGTGCCTGCCTCATAAGTGTGAGGCACTGAGTTCAAACTCTAGTACCTCTAAAAAAAGAAAAAGTTAATGTAGATTTTTTTCCTTGAATACTGGGAGAAACACCATGTGTTTTTTTGTTGTTGTTGTTGTTTTGTTTTCTTTCTTTGGTTTGCTTTCCTGTGTCGTTGTGTGTTTTAGAATAAAGGAGAATAACCTGTGATTTATAGGTGCTTAAAAGGTGACTTTTTAAAAACTCTGGCAAAAGGAGAGGAGACAAGCAAGATTTCAAGCCCACAGTAAGTGGAGTATTTCCTAGAAAGACAGTCTTTCCAATGAGTGAGCCACACAAGCCATTTCAGGTCTGTATGGTAAGCCTCTAATCAAGGGTCAGTCTATTGCAGTTGCAGCCAAAGGCGCGGACTCCCTGTGTGAGGAGAAATCCTCAAGGCTGCCAGCTCTTGCCTGGAAAACTGTGCATCTTTCTGTAAGAGATACAGACTCCTGCAATTCTGTCTAGGAGCGTTGCATAATGACTCTTGAGGGCACAGTTTTTACCTTTTGCCTTTACAGGAAGCAAAGCAATACCTGTATACTGCCAGTGCATTCAGAGAGGTGGGGATGTGGCTCATTCATTAGGAAATTAAAGATCTTAAAATTGACTGCTGCAATATTATATTGTTTTCTAAAAGCCTAATTCCTGATCTTACAAGAAATGTTTCCTGTGAAAGGGTTCTGCCAGAGTGAAACCTGGTGATTTTTCCTACTTTTTTGGCAAAATTGAAAGTGTTAGAAATGAGTGATTCCTTTTTTTGGAAAGAGTAATTTTTGAGACTCTGTAAGTAGTAATACATGTGCCTTCAGAAATTTTGAACATGAAAGAAAACATAATAAGAACTATAAAAGTCACCTGTTAAACTATCATACAGACATCATTATTCTGGTACATTTTCTTCCTCTTTTTTCCTACATGAGTTTTATATGGGAACATTATGCATGTGCTTGCATACCTCCACAAAAGGCTGCATAAATACATATAGATGCTTAAGTATAAGTTTATTTCTTGGACTCTTCCTTTTTAACTCCGGTTGTGAAGTAATCTTTTGTTTCTGTTTTGTGTTTGCTTTACTAGACAAAAAAAAAATTATAGTTATAATGAGCCATATTTTCATTGCAATGTATAGTTATGATTCCTTTCTTATAAAAATCTCATCTGAGATAGGATGAAATTATAAATCAATATTATCAGTGACTGTGAAGAAGTCTTCATTTTACAAAAACAATTTACTGTAGCATGTTTTTTGAACTTGTTTAAAGGGTAATTTTTCCTTGGTGCCTGTAAAATATGGTATGATTAACTGAAATTTGATTTGTACATATCCTCTCAGGAATGTATCTGCCTAAAGCTGGCTTCATGTGGACTTTTGACTTAATGTTTTTCCTGATAATAGAGGGAAAAAAAGCACAAGTAAAATGAATTTAATTTTAATTTGCAGTAAGGGAACATTTTCAGAAAGCATTCATATATATATTTGTTTTTTATAGACTCTTGATCTTTTGTATTGAGACCATATAGATTTCTCAGTCTTTACCACCTAGTAGGCATTTTTAAAATACAAAGAAAATGCTTTATTGTAAAAGCATGGTAGGCATTAGGCTACCTACTCTGCTGTAGATGATATATTAAGCTCTAGGAATATACGGACATAATAGACATAATCAGAGTGGCTCTCTCTGAGTATTTTCACATATGTTGCATCATTTACCTTACATTAATTAATCTCAGTTCTCTTATGGTCCAGATTTTATAAATAAGGAAAACAAGTCTCAGAAAGCAAAATAACTTTGTCTAAGGACAAATATATGGAATCTGAGACATTTCTGGCAGGATATCTGATCATCTTTCCTTGTAATTCTCAGCCTTCCCAGTGGAGGTGGGAACACAAATGGATATCATGCAGCCATAAAAAGGAATAACATAACTGTTACATGTTGTAACATGACTGAACCTTGAGGACATTATGGCAAGTGAAAGAAACCTGTTATAAAAGGGGTACCTATGTCATAATACCATGTACATGAGCTGTCTGGAATAGAGAAATTTATAGAGGCAAAAAGTAGATTATTACTTTCCTACTGTGAGATGATGGGGAATGATGACTAACGTATACAGGGTTTCTTTGTGGATAATGAAAATATTGTTGCAATAGTGGTGATACTTTCCTACTTTGGGAATACAGTAAAAACCACTGACTAATATACTTTAAAATGGTGAATTTTATGACATACGACATATCAATAAAAGGAAAAGTAATTTTTAGAATGATACTAAGAAAAGTATCATTTTATAATCTTTTGGGGTGCCTGTAGTTCAAGTTGGTAAATATTTGGAAATGATTGTATACTAACTGAGTTAACAGGGTGACCAAAGAGCTAATGAAGGAGTTTTTCTGTGAATATAAATAATTAATGCAGAGGCCTGTTAGAATACCATCATTTGAATAGATAATGATCATCATTGTCTACACATGTCTTAGTGTGTTCATGTTGTTATAATGAAATACTATAAACTGGGTGACTTACTTATAAGCAACAGAATTTTTTTTTCTCACAGTTCAGGAGACTACTGCTTTCTGGATCATAGAGGGTGTCTTCTTATCCTCACATAGTAAAAGGGGCAGTGGATCTCTCTCTGGCCTCTTTTATTTGGGTCTCATGAATATCCCATTCATGAGAGTAGAGCTTTTATGATCTACTCACATCCTAAATGCTCTCTCTCCTAATATCATTACCCTAGGGTTAAGATTTCAATTGATAAATTGGGGAGCATGGAGAGTCACAAATATTCAGTCAGTAGCGGGATGGATCAGGCTGGTAGTACTGTAACCCACTGATCCATCATGTATCTCCTGCCTATTGACTCAAACAAAAGAGCTTTGTTTCTGGGGCTGCTTATTCACTTTGTAAAACAGTCCTCTACAGTTTTGCTTAAAGGGTGCAAACTCAACATCTCCAAGCATTCCTTTGTCAGAAAGTTTGGTTTAGGAAAAGATGGTGTTTGCATTTCAGTTTCGTGTGTGTGTATATATGATTTGTTTGTTTGCATTGCATTGTTGTTTGTGCAAGGCAACTTATTCTACCACTGAGCCATACTCCCACATTCCCTTTTTATGTTGTTTTGTTATTGATTTTGGGAGGAGACAGATGTATTTCTCAAGTCATCTTAGACCTAAGAGTCTAGGAACTATATAAGTAGATTGAGTAGGAGATACAAGACCTGAGCTGGTCAGATAGCAGGATGGATTGATGTGTTATTTTGGGATATTTGACGGTCCACAGAATAGGGACTATACTGTTTCCTGATTGTAGAATGAACATAATTATATCTGTCCAATTTTAGGATTTCTTTGCAATTTTTCTGTGAATTGTGTTGGTATATCTATAAAGTCTACTTCCAGGGTTGCTGTGGATGAATTGAGTCAGTTCTGGGCTTCTTGAGGAGAGATTGCAAACTGCTGGCCAGTATGACAAATGCAGTTTACACTGTTTTGTTTGGCCTCCACTGGTTTTTTCCTCTTTAATTTGTTGCCAGCATTTCAAAATAGTGAGATTTCACATAAAAGTCAGGGTTTCTGGCTTCTCTTAAAAAGCAGAAGATCTGGCAATACTGGGTTTATGTTCCCTCATGACACAGTAGACAGAAGTTGAATAGTAACTGCATTAGATAAAGTCCACTGCTACCTCTGTTGCTCACTGATCCTTCTGGACATTTAAGTTTGTGACCCTTACTGTGGTTTGTTTGTTTGTTTGTTTATTTATGCTGGAGTTTGAACTCAGGGCCTTGCAGTTGCTAGGCAGGTGCTCTACTACTTCAATCACTTTTTGCTGTAGTTATTTTTTTAATGGGGTCTCATGTGATTTTTTTATTTTTATTTTTTTTGTTTTGGTTGGCCTGGACCCTAATCCTTCTATTTATTTCTCCTATGTAACTGGGGCGACAGATACACACTACCACACCTGACCTAATGGTTGACATGGGGTCTTACTAACTTTTCTCCCTGGCTTGTTTTGAACCTTGATCCTACCCATCTCTACCTCCTGAGTAGCTGGGATTATAGGTATGAGTCACCATATCAGACTGATTTATAAACCTTGCATTATTACTTTTTACGACCTTTCAGCTTACATTGCTAGTTAACATACCATATGATAATTATACCAACTAACTAGAATATTAGTTCTATGGTAGTAGTAAGTGTGTATCTTCTATACCTCTTATGTTCTCCATGGTGCAGGTGTAATGCTTTGCACACTATAGGGGAGTCAGTGCATACATACTTCTACTCTGATTTTGCAAGGTAATTGAGGAAGCCTGACAATGGTAGGACATTGAAGATTTTTTAATGAAATTCTAAGGTATTCATACCTCTTCTAAACATATTGGTTTAGAAGAGATATGCTCTATTAATATCTTGAGGAATAATTCCAGTTTATTAATGATAATTTCTCTTGTGCGTGTGTGCGTGTGTGTGTGTGTGTGTGTGTGTGTGTGTGTGTGTGTGTGAGACAAGATCTCACTATACAGCCCAGGCTGGCCTCAAACTTGTGATTCCTCAGCCCTGATAGTGCTGGGATTATAGGCATGCCCTATCATGCTTGTCTCTCTTGCCTTATTTTTATTAATCAGTTATTTAAAATAAATTTAGTGTTAAGATTGCTTGACTAGGTTACAGCCCTTGTGAAGTTAATAAACATCATCTTAAATATTAACTATTTTCTTGTCTGTGTTATTATATTATATGGAGTCTTCAAAGTTAAATCTTAAAAGTATTTTCTCATAAGTAAATGAGTACAGAAAATAAATGGAAATAATTGAGGTCAATTTTGGATTATTCATTGTCAAGAAGGATATAGAGAAATTGTGTTTTTTTAAAGAAGTGTTATTCAGTGATAGAAGTTAGAGACATAATGAGTACAGCTGATAATATTAGAAATATAGGAAAAATCTGTTATTATACATGTGGTTAGACTGTACAGGTCAACTTAAGAGAAAGTCATTGAATGAATTATTATAAAGTTTTTTGAAAGTTGTCTTATTTTATGAACACAAACCATATTTTCTTTAGCCTCACACTAACCAGTTGGGTGATGATTTTGAATATCTAGTTTGAATGTTATAAATGTTGATTTCATGCCGCGAATATTTCTTAACTCTTATTGTGTATCTATTTTTACATTAGGTGAGAAATTCATCCACACTTCTGTTTAGTTCTTTGATCACAAGAATTTTTGGAGTTAAAAGGGGAAGGGATGAACTTTCCAAAACAAATAGGTAAGCTCACCTAATGCTAACTTTACTTTTTAAGCAATACTGTCCTGGTTGAAAATAATTGTCAAAGTTCTGCTTTTTTTAACAGATGCAGCTACAGCATAAAACTATAAAAGTTCTATAATAAACTAATCTGTGCTATCAAATTCTAAGCCTTTGGGCAAGAATATCAACTCTTTAAAAAGTTAACCTTTCAAAACCACAAAAATACAGTATAATAGCAAGGGTTGAAGTGTAGACTTGTTTTAGACTTGTTTCTCAGTGCAGTAACTAAAGTTTTTTCTTTTTTTTTTGTATCTTTTCTTCAGTTATTCTTGAAATGTTTTAAATTACTTTTTATTGATGCATTATTAACTACTGGTTTTGTATGTTTAGTTGTACAGTGGAAATTTAGATGGGACCCAGATTACCTTTTCAGTAAAGTCTTTGGGAGGAGTTAGGAGATTTTGGCTTTATGGAATGAACAGTTCTTTTTACTTTTTGGTCTTCAGTTTATTCTCTAAGATGTTTTTTTTTTTTAAAGCTCTGGAAAGAAGCCTATGGCCATTTTGATTGTAGGTAATTTTTTGATATAGTATATACTTTTTTTCTTTTTGGCAATACTGGGGTTTAAACTCAGGGCTTTACACTTGTTAGGCAGATACTCTACTGCTCAAGTCACACTTTCAGCCACTTATATTTTGGTTATTTTGGAAATAGGGTCTCACTTTTTTGCCTTGGCTGGCCTGGACTGTGGACTGTGATCCTATTTTACGCTTCCCACTATTATTGGGATGACAGGCATGCGCCACTGTGCCCAGCTTGTGATGGGGTTTTGCAAACTTTTTTGCTCTGGTTGGCCTGGAACCATGATCTTCCCAGTCTGTACCTTCCTGAGTACCTAGGATTACAGTTATGAGCCACTGCCCGTGGCTGTTTGGTTTAAAAGAAGAGCAGCTTTGACTGTTCTTGAGCACTTGACAGGATTTAATGGCACTCCACTGGGCTTACAGTTGTTAGCACTAGATGTCACTGTCGCTACATGTCCAGTTATGTCCTTAACTTGGGATCCACTTTGGCCTGGTGGCCTTTCTTCTGAAGACCTAGCTGTGAGTGCAGGTTCTCTCCTACTTAAAAAGTTACCATGTTTCAAATTGGGGTTTAGGCTGTTGTTACATAACATTTTTTTTTTAAATGATGGAACTAAGTCTTAGGACTTAGTACTAACTTGTTTTTAATAAGCAACCTGAAGTAATCCATAAGCTGGCAGTAATTTTAGTGAAACCTACTGTAGTAGTCCTGAATTGTTACTTAAATAGCTACTTATCACCCTATGAATAACACTGCCCAAATAGTTAAAAGAAGGTAACTGGCTATAAGTACAAATCCCCTTAATATATGCAGGAAATATAGAGTTGCTTTTTTTTTTTTTAAACTGAGTCATTTTTTAAAATAAATAACATTTCCCCTTTGGAAGGATGATTATAACCTTATTTTTTTGCCTATTCTTAAAGTAATTCTTCCTGTCATTAACTTAAAATTACTAATGTTTCTCTTTTGTCCACTTTTAAAATAATTTTATGATATGCTAAAGTTTAAAATAGTTGGACCGTATTATAAAGTCATGATAAATTGTTACGTAAATCAAATATATTAAGATTATCAACAAGTAAAGTTTTTGTTTAAAACTGACTTGAAAATGAAGATGTGGTTTTCTCTTTTAGTTTTTTGTGTTTTGTTATTATTGCTTGCTTGTTTTTTGAGGCAGGGTCTCTCTCTGTAGCCCAGGGTGGCCTGGAACTTGTGATCTTTCTGCCTTAGCCTCCCTTGTGTTGGCATTACAGGTGTGTGCTAACACACTTGGCTTCCCTTTTAGTTTTTTTGAAGTGATTCTTGGATGTGTCTACTATGTACAGGAGAAAATTATCAGATTTATTTCATTTAGGTTGCATCTGAAAGAGAATAGAGGAATAGAGCGATGATGCCACACAGTTTTAGTCTTTTTGCCAAAGACACGCTGGTAGAAACCTCCATTATAAATTTATTCCTTTTGGATAGGAGAGAATACAAAATTACAACTTTCTTAGAAAGAGGGATATGCAATATTTGTATAATTGTTTTGTGTAATTAAAGGTGAAAAATGAGGGAGTTAAAATATTAATATTTTGTTTAAATGTGATGAACATTTCTGGTAAGAGTCTTTATTTCAGTAACCCGAAGATTGGTATATATCATCACCTATACGATTTTGTTTTCTTTTTAATTCTAGAAGAGAGTATTTCTTGTCAGCTACCATTAGATTTGCTGTGTAAAGCCTTTACTGTTACACATTTGCAATTGTTTGTGATGGTTCTTCTGCTTTTGTAGTTTATTTAATCATGTCATTTTTGTTGAAATGTTTATGTGCTTGTTCCCTACAACATTAATTCTCCAAGGGTAGAAACTTTTTCATGTATTTCTTGTATACATAATGGACACTTTAAGAATGCTAGAAATGATGGCTTGTAGGTTGTTACTTAGCAATGTAATAACTAACTTCAGCTGATGACACCTCACAGGACAGTTAAGTTTGCTTTCACAACCACAGATTGTCCAGCACACAATCTTGCAAACGTGTACTCTTAGTCAGAACGAAACTGAATGTAAAAAGAACATCTGTCTTTTCCATCTAGTGGGGAAGAAATGGCTATCTTGAAGTAAACAAACTTGGTTTCCAGGCATCTTGCTGCCACTGGAGATGACCTTAATAGACTCCTTTATCTGCCCTGCACTTTAGTTTCTCCTCTACATGTCAGGAACAATAAGGTCTAGGCTCTGTTCTCATTGGGTTATTATAAACATAAAAGAGACGACTTGTTCGTTTTCTTTGACAGTATTCAAAGACCTAAGCAATTAGAGACACAGAGTGCTATTCCTCTCTGCTACTGCTTCTACTGTTGTACTCCTCTCACTGTCTTGTTGTTAGACTGTGTTTTTTGTGACAGCATCAGAGTTAGTGTCTTACTATTTTTTGTGTACCTGGTCTATATGCATATAGTGTGGTCCCTTGCATAGTGTGTGGCATATAGAAAGCATACAGACATAATTGCTGAATGAATATGCAAATTTTGATAATAGAGAAGAAATAAGAAATCTGATTTTTACTCTTGCCTTTGTTCCTGTCTAGTCATGATAACCATCTGAGACAAGTTAGCTAACTTCTCAGTGCCTTTATGTTTTTCCTCTGTAAAACAAGTGGTCTCTCCCTTCTAAAATACTAAGCTCAGGTTTTACCTCATGTTACTAGGATTGCAAGTTTGGTAGAGTGCTGTATTCCCAGTGCCTACAACAGTAGCTACCATATAGGGATAAGGAGTTTCTGTTTCACATAAATAGAAAGGAGCAGGGGCTTGTCTTCTTCCTTATAAGTATGTGGAGTGCCCCTGTAAAAAAAATCAATTCAAAATAGATTAAAGATCTCAGTGTAAGACCTGAAACTTTGAAACTACTAGAGGAAAACATAGGTAAAATACTTGAAGAAATAGGCATAGACAATGACTTTCTGAATAGGACTCCAGTTGCTCAGGAAATACGAGCAAGAATTGACAAATGGGATTGCGTCTAATTAAAAGGCTTCTGCACATGAAAGAAAACAGTTACCAGAATGAAGAGACAATCCACAAAATGGGAGAAAATATTTGCAAATTATTCATTGGGCAAAAGATTAATATCCAGGCTATATAAAGATTTCAAAAAATTAAACACTAAAAGAACAAATAAGCCAATTAATAAATGGGCAAATGAAACAGTTCTCAATTACAAGTGGCAAGTAAAGTAAATACATACAAAATGTTCAGTGTTCTTAGCCATAAAGGAAATGCAGATCAAAATGACACTGAGTGTCCATCTCACCCCAGTCAGAATGGCTGTCATCTAGAAAACAAACAACAAATGCTGGTGAGGATGCGGGGGACACTTATACACCATTGGTGGGAATGTAAACTTGTACAGTCAGTATGGCGGTACCTAAAAAATCTAAAATAAAACTACCATATGGGAGGAGGGGGATAAAGGAGAATGATGGAGGGGTGAATTCAGCTATGATATATTGTAAAACTTTTGTAAATGTCAAATATAACCCTAGCACAATAACAACAACAAACTTTTAAAAGTTTGTAAAATATGAAGTATTGAAGCTAAGTAAAAAAAAAACTGTCATATGATCCTGCTATCCCACTCTTGGGCATCTATTAAAGGAATGTAAATCAATATACAATAAAGACACCTGTACACCCATGTTTTTTGTAACACTATTCATAATAACCAAGCTATGGAATCAGCTTAGGTGCCCAATAACCAATGAAGGGTTAAAGAAAAGGTAGTAGATACACAGAATGAAATTATGTCATTTGCACAAAATGCATGGAACTGGAGATCATCGTGTTTATGGTGACCATGATTATTTCATGCAAAATAAACCAAGCTCAGAAAGACAAATAACACGTTTTCGCTCATATGCAGAATCTAGACCAAAAATTAATAGTATGACAATTGTAAAAGGAGGACTGTTGAGTGGGAAGCCGGAGGGAAGGGAGGGTGAAAGCAGTGGGTGATGGGGAGTAAATATGATCAAAGTTTATTATATTGAACCCCACTAAAAACTTAAAAAGGTGTGGGGCGAGAAAGCAATTAAAGGGGATGAATTTGATCAAAGTGTACTGTATGCATGTATGTAGATATCACAGTGCAAGTCCTTGCACAGTTAATTTATCCTAATAAAAACATTAAAAAATAAGTATGTGGAGTACACTTGCATGTTTGAACTTTTGAGCCCACTGGTCCTGTGTGATATGTTCTTTAGCTTATGAAGAATGAAAAAGGACATTTTACTTGTGTGCCACAAAAAAGAAAGAGAGTGAGAGAGAAAGAATAACAGTTATCATTTGCTTTTATCCTTGAGAAAACTGAAAGGAAGGAAGGAAAAAGAAGGAGGGAAGGAAGGAAGGAAGGCTGACTGGCTTGGAGTATGAATAGATTTGGGGTAA